ATAATCAGGACTATGTGCAGAGATTTATTTACAAAGGTTATACTCTTATGTTAATTATAGCAAATAATTGGAAATAATCCTATGATATGATTTTAAATGGCTACATAAATAAAAGTGCATCCATCAATGAAAATTTAAGATTTATTTTATTTTAGGGGAGCCTGGGTGGCTCAGTCGCTAAGCATCTGCCTTCGGCTCAGGTCATGATCCCAGGGTCCTGGGATCGAGCCCCGCGGCCGGCTCCCTGCTCCATGGGAAGCCTGCTTCTCCCTCTCCCACTCCCCCGCTTATGTTCCCTCTCTCACTCTCTGTCAAATAAATAAAATAAAATCTTAAAAAAAAAGATTTATTTTATTTTAGAGAGAGAGAACAGGAGGAAAGAGCAAAGGGAGAGGGAGGGGGAATCTTCAGCAGACTCCACACTGAGAGCTGAGCCCAACGCAGGGCTCCATATCACAACTATGAAATCATGACCTGAGCTGAAACCAAGAGTCTGATGTTTAACTAACTGTGCCACCCAGGAGCTCCCATACAATGGAAATTTTAATGCAATGATTAGAAAAATACTGACACAGGAAAAGTGTCAAGTTACAAAAGAGAACATCCAGAATGCCCTCTAAGTCTAAGTGGATCTCAAAGTCTTAGAAATAAGATTGGAAGGATATAAACCAAAATGTTAACATTGGTGGTTACCTCTACAAATGTGATTATGGGTGCCTGAAACATGTTTGATTGTGTGTACTTCCCAATTTTCTACTACATTATTTTTGTAATGAGAAAAAGATATTAAGAGCTTAACAGTACTGAAAAAGGAACATGATTCACTTCAAGAGAAATATGGTTGGCTTTCTTATAGGTTGAGGAAGACTTGAGCTTGTTTATGTGTGAAGGGGAAAGAGGAAAGATAGAAGCTAGGAGAGAGGGAGTAAATGAAAGAGCCAGGCTCTGAGAGAGAAAGGGGATCCTGGGCATGAGGTGAAAATGGCGGAGGACCAAAAGGCAGTGGGAAAGAGACCTGATCGCGGATGCACCATCACCTGCCACTCAGTGTGTGCAGAGCAGGGAGATTAAAGGGATGGTGGAGAGTGGAAAAGGTTTACAACAGCTGCTGGAGGGAATTAGGAAGTCAATTAGCAATAAATGAAGGGATTGTAGAGCGGCTCCAAGGGAGGGCCCAGCTGCCACTGAGGAGCAGGACTTGATCCCACTGCCAGTTAACATATTAGCTGCAGCCAAAGAGAAAATGTACGGCCTGGATCTAACCAATGAATGTCTAAATAATATCCAGAAAATATGACCCAGAATAACTGCAACACTAAGGACTATATTAATGTACTAACTAATTTAAGCCCTGCTTTTCTAGTTTGGTCTCAGGCAGTTGTACATCTTCACTGTCATCATTATTTTTAAAACTGCTTGTGTTGGCTAAGCTTGTAATGTGTTAGTGTGAAGCAGAAGCACTGTGCTTTCCACCTTATTTTTCTACCAAATAAATACCACGAGGTATGGGAAAATGAAAAAAAAAACATAAATAAAGGAGGTGGGAAAAGGTAGTGAAAGATTTAGGGAAATGACACTTTATCAGTCAAAATGATGAGTGTTAAAACATCACTAATCTATTGGCGCACAATACATAGCCAGCTGTTTCCAGGGCTGTTGTGCTTGTTCATTCCCTAGATGAGTGTCTATAGAAGTCTTCCTAGTGTCCGATAATAGTCTCTTTACTTCAGCCTTGCAGGTAGGTAACGAAATTATTCCTGTCTCATAAATCAATGGTATCAGACTTTCCTATCTGACCAGTATAATCATTCTAATTTACCTTGAAGGGGAAGTATCAGGAAATTCACGATTGTTAGAACAAAGCAGAATCCTCATCTAATATAGTTTGTGCTTACTGGAATTACTTCCTGAACTGAGGGAAAGCAGCTACCATCTGTTAGGCATCTACTATGTGCGTGTTCTTTGTGAGGCCCTCTATTTTCACTCTCTCGTTTAATCCTCCTGATAGTTCTGCAAGGAAGATATAATTTTCTTCATTTTACAGACAACAAAAGAAGCTCAGAGATGGTAAAACAGTGAAAATGATAGCACTGACCTCATAAGACTATTCTGAGTATTAAATGAGATAATAAATGTGAAGCATTTAAGAGCAGCACAGAGTACTCTCCTCATAAACATTAACCACAATAATGGCTATTAGCCATAATAATATTCCAGGATTTATGCTATCATTTGACAAAATAATGTGGGTCTTCTTATCACTATTCCCATTTCACAACAAATGAAATAGGTTTAGCCAAGGTTATAGCAAGATCACTATAGGCAATATATCAACTATCACTTTCACTAGGCTCTGCTAGGCCACCATGCTTCTGCACTAGATTCAGGTTCATTATATCTTCCCTTTGTTCCCAGTCAAATAACTTTACAATCCCTTGAGGGTACAAACCAATGAGGGTGAGGACAACCCAGAGAAGCAGCCTGGGCTCCAAAAGGAATAAGTCTGGAATCAAAAAAGCACTAAAACATAAAAACACAGAGAAAGGAAAGTCTTTTCAACAAATGGTGCTGGGAAAACTGGATATCCACATGCAAAAGATTGAAATTGATCTCTTACCTTACACCATACACAAAAAATCACTCAAAATGGATCAAAGACCTAAATGTGAAACCTAAAAATTCTTAGAAGAAAATACAGGGAAAAGTTTCATGATAGTAGATTTGGCAATGACTTCTTGGATATGACACCAAAAGCTCAAACAACAAAAGAAAAAATAAATTAGACTTCTTCAAAATGAAAAACTTCTGTGCATCAAAGGACACTACTGATAGAAAGAAAAGGCACTTTTCTCTACAAAATGGAAGAAAATATTTGCAAATCACATACCTGATAAGGGACTGATATTGGGAACATATAAAACCTCTTACAACTCAACACCAAAAAAACCCAGTCAAAAAGTGGGCAAAGGACTTGAATAGCTATTTCTCCCAAGAACATAAATGGCCAAGAGGCTTGAGAAACGGTGCTAAACATCACTAATCACCAGGGAAATGCAAATCAAAACCGCAATGACATACCACTTCACACCCATTAGGATAAAGATTATTTTTTGCAAATGGTAAATAACAAATGTTGTCAAGGATGCAGAGAAATCAGAACCTTTATGCACTGCAAATAGGAATTTAAAATGGTGCTGCTGCTGTGGAAAATAGTATAGTAGTCCTCAAGACATTAAACATAGGATTAGCGTATGAACCAGCAATTACACTTCTAGGTATATATCCAAAAGAACTGAAATCAGGAACAGACATTTGTACACCATGTTCATAACCATTATTCACAATAAGCCAAAAGGTAGAAATTACCCAAATGTCCATCAATGAATAAATAAACAAAATGTGGTACAAACTTACAATGGACTATTACTCAGCCCTTAAACAAGGAAATTCTTAAACATGCTACCATGTGGGTGAACCTTAAAAATATAATGCTAAGTGAAATAAGCCAAAAACAAAAGGATTAATATTGTATGGTTTCACTTACATGAGGTAACTAGAGTAGCAAAATCCAGAGATAGAAAGTAGAATAGTGGAAAAAAAAAAAAAAAGTAGAATAGTGGTTACCAGGAGCCAGGGGAGAGAATAATGGGGGAGTTATTGTTGATTGAAACTGAGTTCAGTTTGGGATGATGAAAAATTTCTGGAAATGGAGAGTCATAATAGGTGCACAATAATGTGAATGTACTTAATGCCACTGAATTGTACACTTAAATATGTTTAAGATAATATATTTTATATTATATATATTTTATCACAAAAAATCTACTAAAAAAGTACTGTACCTAGAAAAAAGATGGGAAAGAAATAAATTTAAAAGTTCACAGTGGTTATCTTTAGGGTGTAGGATTATAGGTTCTTTGTTTCCTTCTTTACATTTTATTATTTTCCATATTTTCTTCAATAACCTTTTGAATTAGAAAAAAAGTGTTTCTTTTTTTTTTTTAAGATTCCATTTATTTATTTAAGAGAGAGTGAATGAGCAATAGAGAGAGCACAAGCCAGGAAAGAGAGGCAGAGAGAGAAGCAGACTCCCCACTAAGCAGGGAGCCCAACTCAGGGCTCGACCCCAGGACCCTTGGACCATGACCTGAGCCGAAGGTAGATGGCCAACTGACTGAGCCACCAAGGCACCCCATGTTTATTTCTTTAAACTGCTGTATTACCACTGGGATAACAACAGAGATGATATGCCATCAAGCACCAATTTTTAAAATATCAATAATGATTTTCTTCAGAGCAAATAATCAGTTCATCTTAACACTATACACTGAAAATAGTTAAAAGGTACTCTATCAACCTAAACAAGGAGGTAAACTGAGGCAAGTTCAAATTACCAGAAATTTGAGTTTATTTGGGAATTGCAAAGGGAACTGCAATTTGGGAAACATGCTGTATCAAGCTACAGGGTGTCCTTTGAGGATTTGGGGCAGGCTGTACTTATGAGTAAGGAGTACAAAGAGGGGTAAGGCCTGCCAGGGAGAGATTCTTGGTGGATGTTCTTTGGTCAGGAGAGAAGCCTTGATCTTCTGTAAATCAGGCATTTACAAGAAATCAGTCTCTCAGTTAAATTCCATTCTTCTGAGGGAGGATGCATGAGGGTCTCCAATTCATATCCTCCAGTTCAATTTTACATTGAAATCCTCTCGCAACTTCATTAATTTATTATTTATTTAGCCATTTCCTTATTGGTGCACATCTAAATTGCCTACAATTTTTGTGCAATTACAAAAATGAAATAAAATCCCTTGAATATTTATCCTGGTAAGGTCCTGTAACAATTTCTAAAGGAAAAATACCTAAAAGTGAAATTGCTGGATCGTGTCATACACTTTTAATTTACACTACTTAACCATACTTTCTAACCCATGTGGGCCAACCTAAATCTTTCTCAGAACAAGGTATAAACACATAGGATGGGGATTTTACTTTCAATAGACACAAAACTGAAAGAGGGAACTTTGTGTTTTTTCAGGAAGCCCACATAACTGAAAGTGAGTGGGTGAGGAATGTTTGGTGGAGACAGGATAGATTGAGAGATTTTACTCTGTGTTCTTCACTCACCTTTTTACCTTCTTATTTTGACAAGAGAAAACCATTTTGGGTAACTGTCTATAGCTTGTTCCAACAAATAGAAGGAAGACATTCCAGTCGAAGAGGTTGCCCAACAACAGAACTAGGATTTCCTGAGATAGCTTTCCATCCTTTGAATTGTTCAAGCTCGAGTGAAATGGTCCACAAGAGAAGCCACACAGTGTCTAGTTAAAAAAGCACAGACCTTGGAGTCAGGATGCCTGGATTTGAATCCTGGTTCTGATACTTAGCTGCGAGACTTTGGACAAGTTAATTAGCCTTCTGTGCCTCAATTTCTTCATTAGTAAAATAACAATGATAACAGTACCTACCTTACAGATTGTTATGCATCACTTGTTCTCTCCAGTTTTAAAAATATCTTTCAAAAGAAACACAGAGGAAGTTAGCTTTCTAAGATTATATGCCTTGTAACAGTTTAAAAAAAATCCCCACAGAAGTTAAATCCAAGATGAGTCTGGGAGAGGGAAGAAGACCTAAGGATAAGACATTGATCAAGAATTTTGGCTCCCAATCCCCCAGCACTAGGAGCAGCATCCTAACAAGGAAACTAATAAAACACAGGAATCAGAGAGAATATTATGAGAGAATTCAAAGTACTTCTAGGAAATTCTCTGAAGAGAAGTAGAAAGGCATGCATTATATCCCACCGGAAGGCAATCAGGCACTGGGGTTTTAGTTCTAAATCTGACACTGTGCCGCCTTGGCCAACTGACTTCACCTATTTGAGTCTCATTTTCCTTAAAACTAAATCATCTCTCTGCACTTTACTCTCATCAGCTCTCAAGATCTTTGACTCTAGCAATCACTACTCAAGTTGAAGAGATTTGATGGTCTGGGCCCTCACACTGAGACAAAGGAAAGTCTGTAGAATGCAAAACCCCTCCATCAAGAAGGCAAATCAAGAGAACCCTAGAGGACTGGGATGTGGAATTGGGTGCTCATTGAGGACTCTGTTTTCTAGAGAACAATTTGGCTTAGCTGCCTTTTTCAAAGTCCTAGAACCACAGACTGCCAGAACTGGAAAGTGCCCAGTCTCACCCTCTCACTCTGCAATCAAGAAGAGGCTCAGAAAAGCTAAGTTCACTGGCCAAGGTCATCCAGCAGGACATGACAGAGCCAGGACTAAACATCAACCTTTTGATAGATCAGAGTTTTTCCCACTACCCCTGCTTTCTGGAAATGTGGGAGCTCAGGGCCTAGCACACGGCAAGTGATCACGTACATTTGGTTTGTACTTGAACAGCATCCTGGACACAAGCAGGACTGAGGGTAAGCAAAGGAGACACTAGTGCCAGGTGCAAAATTAAAGAAGAGGGGGTCAAAAAAACTCAGTATTCAAAACAGTATTTTAATGCACTATTTAAAAATAAAAAATTGAGGGGCACCTGGGTGGCTCAGTTGGTTAAGCGACTGCCTTCGGCTCAGGTCATGATCCCAGAGTCCTGGGATTGAGCCCTGAGTCGGGTTCCCTGCTCAGCGGCAAGCCTACTTCTCCCTCTGCCTGTCGCTCCCCCTACTTGTGCTTGCTCTCCCTGTCAAAAAAATAAATAAAATTAAAAAATAAATAAAGATAAAAAACTGAACAAAATACAAAATATAAAAACTTCAAAATAAAGACAGAATCTGAACCTGCATTTGTACAACCCTGCTTCACCCATCTTGCTCTAATCCTGGCCCTGGTTCCAATAAATTTTTTTTTACAAAAAAAGATTGACAAGCCACAGCCACAGTTTGCAGATTTTATCCTTTAAAATATTGCACTAAAACTTTATTTATCTTGATTTCTGAACTTTTTGATGCCCCCTTGAATTTTGTGCCCAAGGCGAGTGCCTGACTTTTTTCACCCTAGTCCGGCCTGGGCAAGAGAAGGAATGTCGGGTGCAGGTCACCAGGGCATGATGTACCTAAAATCCATGGTTTCCTAATCTTGGGTCTGTGGCTCCCCGCATAGGAGTCTGCGGATGGGTTCTGGGGATCCATGAATCTCCTCCGGTCATAGGCAAAATACTGTGTTTACATATCTTTTCCTGGGAAAACAAAGGGTCTTTTATTTTCATAGTCTCAAAAGGACTCCAAAAAGGTTAAAAACCCTGCCACAGAACAAGGCAAAACCACCCCACCTGCCATTTTCCTGTGTCTTCATCCCTCTTTATTATTCTTCCTGCATAAAATATGCATGCATAAGAAAAACACTAATATATTCATTCTCACAGAAGTGCAAAGGACCTAAGACAAAAGCCCTGGGCAGTTTATTCATTGTAGCTCAAAAACTTTGGGCCAATATTAAGAGTCCCTTGGGGCACCTGGGTGGCTCAGTCGGTTAAGCGTCTGCTCAGGTCATGATCTTGGGTGCTAAGCCCCCATGAGGCTCCCTGCTCAGCGGTCTGCTTCTCCCTCTGCCCCTCCCCCCTTCATGCTCGGGCACTTTCTCTAAGGACGCAATTTAAGTAATAGGTACAGGCTTCTGCGGGACATCTCCCGCCCCGCCCCCCAATCACACGTCTAGGCGACTTCCTTAACCCTTCCCTGGTGTTTCTCATCCACAACCAACACCCTTTTGACAGTCAGTTGTGAAGAGAGGGAAAGACAGCACCTGCTAAAAATGAAAGGATCTGAGCTAAGGAAGCAGCTCAGCAATGCCATAACCTGACTTTACCAAGGCTTCACCTTGAAGACAACCAGGCCTCAGAAAGGCTCAGACACCAAGGGCGCAAGACCGCAAGACCGGAAGCGCGGAGGCGGGACCCGCGCAGGGGCTCACGGGGAGGGGGCAGGTCACGTCACCGAAGTGCCAGGCAGGCCCTGATTGAAGGTTGATAAGTGGCTCCTTGTTTCACGCTACCACTGTTGCTGCAATCAAAGTGGCAAATATTTACCTTGGAATCTGACTGACTGAAAATATTTGGTTGGAGCCAGATGCGTCGCGTGTCTGTCCCTGAAATATTAGCTAAAGGAGTGATTTCGGAAAATAAAATGGTGGGTGGGGTGCCTGCCTGGCTAAACTATTTACTTTCCTCCGGCTCCCGCACAGCGTGTGGAGCTTCTGACAATCCCGTAGGGAACGTGAACAGCTGGGAAGCAGGCCAGACTAGGAGAGAGAGTCTGTTTTGCATTGGGCGGATAGTTTTACATAAATCAGAGATGTGGAAATAGACATCTTCCTTAAAGGCTCTTGAAATGTTCTCAAAACGGTTTACCCAGGAGTAGTAAACTGTGAAGTGGTTTTGTTGCATCTTTAGTTCTAGAGTACATCTAAAATAAGGGTATTAGTTACTTGGGAACCGACAACTCCGTTCAGAAATGCTGCCGCTTTCTGAGCCGCTTGTCTGTCCTGAGGTGTGGGCGAGACGATTCATACAGCTTAAGGTTAAGCAAGATGCTTATTATGCGCCTGGCACTGTGGTCAGCATTATTGGCCCGTTGTCTAGGAATTCTCACAACCAGAGCAAACCCAGATGAGTTATTAGCTAGCTCTATTTTCCAGACGAGAATCAGCTTCAAAAACATTGAATGACTTATCCAAGATCTCAGGACTCGAGTGTCAGAGCTGGGATTGGAACCCAGACAGTCTGACCCTCTGCTCTTTGCCTCCCCTTGAGAGCGCCAGTGATTGTGAGGTGCATCTCTGGTCTGTAATTCTACAGATGAGGGGAATGAGATTCATGTTGCTGACGGGAGGTTTTATGTGTCTGTGGCCAAAGGTGACCTCTTAGATTGATCCTGTTTGCTATCTCATGCGATACTAGGAAATGCTGCTTGTGAGGAAAGTAGAACTAAACATAAATGTAACTAAAATAAGCTTCTATTAAAAAAAAAAAACTTTAGGGCGCCTGGGTGGCTCAGTCGTTAAGCGTCTGCCTTCGGCTCAGGTCATGATCCCAGGTTCCTGGGATCGAGTCCACATCGGGCTCCCTGCTCCGCGGGAAGCCTGCTTCTCCCTCTCCCACTCCCCTGCTTGTGTTCCTGCTCTCGCTATCTCTCTCTGTCAAATAAATAAAATCTTAAAATAATAATAATAATAATAAAACTTTAAAAAAGGAGTCGATATTTTATCTCTTTTTCAAATGTAAAGAGAATACAAAGTATATGAAGGTGTGGACTCAACTGATAGAAACTTTGTCTCCCAAGGGCAGAAACAATCAGAGGAGGTAAATTGAGCACTTGATACCCATTACAGACTATGCCCACTTGCTCCAACCTTCCTTAACCTACTCTTTAACTAGAGTGGGTCTAAACACATGACATTTTTTTTTTAAAGATTTTATTTATTTATTTGAGAGAAAGAATGAGAGAGAGAGAGAGCATATGAGAAGGAAGAGGGTCAGAGGGAGAAGCAGACTCCCTGCCGAGCAGGGAGCCCGATGTGGGACTCGATCCCGGGACTCCAGGATCATGACCTGAGCCGAAGGCAGTCGCTTAACCAACTGAGCCACCCAGGCGCCCTAAACACATGACATTTTAAAAGAGGTTACATTAATCAAATAGTTACTTTGAGAACAACCAATTGTTTTCAATTGAACTAATCATTTTTTTCTAGATCTGATTCTGTGTTAACAGAAGCCGTTTATCAAAATATAATTTCTAGCTTCCCAGTCACTTAGCCTAGAAACCTTCAAATTATCTTAGTCCCTGAATCACCTTTGCTACTTACATTCTCCTCAAAACTTTCAGTGGCTCCCCTCTGCATTTAGATGACCACCTACCTCTAGCCTGGCATTCTAGGCCCTCCTTGATCTGTCCCAGGATAACTGGAAGCTCAATCATGGGAGCCAAGAGAGTGCAAAGTCTAATTCCATCCCCACTACTGAATAACTGAGGGGATTTCCCTTTTCTGTAGGCCTTAGTGCCTTCATCTGGAAAATGAGGGTGTTGGGATAAATGATTCACTGGTCCTTACAATTGGAACATTCTTTGCATCTGCCCCTTAAGCCTTCTTTCCTGTGTATTCCCTTCATATACCACATGCTTTAGCCCCCACTATACCCAGGACCCAGCACATGCCCTGCAGAGTCCTATCTCTGCCTTTCTGCCTTTATCTGGAATGTCCCTCCTCCTTCTTCTCCAGATGACCAAATCCTTTGCTTAAAGACTCAAATATAATGCCAACTACCTTGTGAAGCTTCCTTGAATTCCTTGTTGGGAAGTCACTTATTCAGTCTAGGAATTACATAACCTGGTATCTGACCCTCCTTTTGAGCACAGAACCGTATTTGGATTATTTATATATCTTCAGGGCCCAGGTTATCTTTGTATCCTCCCTAATGCCAGGCAAAAAGAAGGCATTTAATTAAAGAGCAGCAGGTAATGAAATGAAATGTTAGCTGGTATTAACTACCAGCAAGTAGAAAATGCCTATTAAATGTGAGCTATTATTTTTAATACCAATGATAATTATAGATGTTTATTGAATGAGTAGAATGAATGAAATAACTTGCAAGCCAAAAACATCCTATGAAAATATGCCAAGTTTTGTTAGGCTGGGTCTCAAGACAAAGTAAAAGGACATACACTCCTTAGTAACATCCAGGAAATCGAGGCAATATTTGGGGTGAACTTTTCTAGTTGTATGCAGGTAGACATGTTTAAAATTTAAAGAGCTACAGGAAACTTAAAGTTGTGAACAAGTAGTCTATATCAGATTTTAATCTCAGCACTTTGAAATTCTCAGTTGCAATAAATATCCTCATATATTGAGTACTTTTTAAAAATTTGAACTCTAAAATAGAAAAAATAACATGACTTCTTTATCAATTTAACCAAAAATAACACATAAATAAATTTCAAATTTGGTGGTCAAATATTACAGTGAGCTAGCTCAAGTATTTTAATATGTTAATGCCTACAGGTACATGTCCTACTGAGAACAAACAGAGCATTACCAATGAATGAAGGCAATAAACTGCTGTTGCAGACTGTGGAATATCTGCAGCTAGGGAAAGAAAATGTCTCCGTCTTGAGGAAAAAGCATTTGACCATGAATGCGGCTCTGTACCAAAACCTCACCTTGGCTAATGAGAGGGTGCAACAGCAAGACCAGAGGGTCAGGAAATGGAGAAATGTTTCTCCCCAGATTCCATCCCACTTCACCCCAACCCCAAATAATCATCGCTAACATTTTGGCATATGTTCCTCCTTTTTTTCCCTGTATGTGCTAACTTTATTATTGTTACTATTGATTTTTCCAGAATAGGATCATAGTTTATATGCCGCTCAGAGACTTGCTTTGCAATAAGTCAAATTCCTAGCATTATGCTATATGGGTGTGCCCGCAACTTTCCTGAAGCGTGTTTACTGATAGTCCACAGTTTTAAACAATGCTTTGGTGAACATCCTTGTACACATATCCTTTTGCTACAACACTGCTTTCTGACAGGGCTGACCCCATCTTCAGGAGCTTCAAAAGAGGAACCTTAGTTCAGCAGTTTTTTATTGATAAAAGAGTCAATCAGCAGAGCAATTTCAAGGCAGATTAGATAGAAACCATACTTGGGAACCGAAGGACTCACACCACACCCAAATTCAAAGGGACTTCCCAGGAGGCTTTCTGCCCTTCTCCCTCAGCAGCTATCACACCTACCAGGTTTATCTTTGGAAGCTGAGCCAGTTATCTTCCATACCTGAGTTCCCTCTGCAACAAGTAGATCTGGAGGGCATTGATCACACGTGTGTAAAATGCACAAAGCGTAGGCATTCGCATCTATGAATTAGAATGATGACAGAGAGATTCAAGAAGTTTAATATTCAAGACATTCAGCTGAGAGGGGTGTATTTGAAAAGTCTTTGTGTAGGGGTGCCTGGGTGGCTCAGTTGGTTGAGCGACTGCCTTCGGCTCAGGTCACGATCCTGGGGTCCCAGGATCGAGTCCCGCATCGGGCTCCCTGCTCAGCAGGGAGTCTGCTTCTCCCTCTGACCCTCTTCCCTCTCGTGCTCTCTATCTCTCATTCTCTCTCTCTCAAATAAATAAATAAAATCTTAAAAAAAAAAAAGAAAAGTCTTTGTGTAACTGGGGGA